ATGTAGTTACACAAGATTTACACAAGATGTACAAATGTTGTCAAATGTGGTTACACAAGATGTACAAATGTAGTCAAATGTAGTTACACAAGATGTAAAAATATAGTTACACAAGATGTACAAATGTGGTTACACAAAATGTACAAATGTAGTTACACAAGATGTACAATGTAGTTACACAAGATGTACAAATGTAGTTACACAAGATGTACAAATATAGTAACACAAAATGTACAATGTAGTTACACAAGATGTACGATGTAGTTACACAAGATTTACACAAGATGTACAAATGTTGTCAAATGTGGTTACACAAGATGTACAAATGTAGTCAAATGTAGTTACACAAGATGTAAAAATATAGTTACACAAAATGTACAAATATAGTTACACAAGATGTACAAATGTAGTTACACAAGATGTACAATGTAGTTACACAAGATGTACAGATGTGGTTAAACAAGATGTACCATGTAGTTACACAAGATGTACAAATGTAGTCAAATGTGGTTACACAAGATGTACAAATGTGGTTACACAAGATGTACAGATGTGGTTACACAAGATGTACAATGTAGTTACACAAGATGTACAAATGTAGTCAAATGTGGTTACACAAGATGTACAAATGTAGTCAAATGTGGTTACACAAGATGTACAAATGTGGTTACTCAAGATGTATAAATATAGTTACACAAGATATACAAATGTAGTTACACAAGATGTACAAATGTAGTTGCACAAGATGTACAATGAAGTTACACAAGATGTACAAATGTAGTTACACAAGATGTACAAATGTAGTTACACAAGATGTACAAATGTAGTTACACAAGATGTACAAATGTAGTTACACAAGATGTACAAATGTAGTTACACAAGATGTACAAATGTAGTTACACAAGATGTACAAATGTAGTTACACAAGATGTACAAATGTAGTTACACAAGATGTACAAATGTAGTTACACAAGATGTACAAATGTAGTTACACAAGATGTACAAATGTAGTTACACAAGATGTACAAATGTAGTTACACAAGATGTACAATGTAGTTACACAAGATGTACAAATGTAGTTACACAAGATGTACAAATGTAGTTACACAAGATGTACAATGTAGTTACACAAGATGTACAAAGGTAGTTACACAAGATGTACAAATGTGGTTACACAAGATGTACAATGTAGTTACACAAGATGTACAAAGGTAGTTACACAAAATGTACAAATGTAGTTACACAAGATGTACAATGTAGTTACACAAGATGTACAAAGGTAGTTACACAAGATGTACAATGTGGTTACACAAGATGTACAAATGTAGTGACACAAGATGTACAAATGTGGTTACACAAGATGTACAAATGTAGTTACACAAGATGTACACCTGGGCCATTCTTATTTGCAAATGATTAGGCAGGTTGTACCAGAGTTGATCATTTTTGAAATAGGGACTGACCAGTGATTTGATGTTGTTTTCTAGCGAGCCTAATTGGTAAAAACTTTCAAGGCATGCATTAACATTTACAGGGTCCATCAGGTTTTACCCCTGAAATATTACATTTAAAAATTGGATGAACTGGTTGGTCTGCATAAATGAAAGTCTCCAATTGACCTGCTAGATACAAGATCAAAAACTAGTTAAAACATTTCTTATTGATTTGACCTACCAGAAACATGACCAGAAACAAGTTCAAACACCTGTTACCGTTATTAAATAAGGACTCATTGTAACCACAGATTCATTAGCTAGAATTGAAAAAAAAACGTGTTCAATATTTTACGAAGTAATTGGAAAACTAAACTATGGTAAAAATATATGTTAACTACACATAAAAGGTCAAGGTATTTGAATTTGTATCAAAGGTGAAAATTAAGGCAAGGGTAGAGCCAACGCCGTGGTTTTCTTAATGGTGGAATAATTTGGTCCTTTGCTCCTCGTCGGGATACCCGAAAGTATGCAGGGGATGGAGTAAAAGTGAGAACATCATAAAATAGATTCAATCACAACAGGCGAAGGAGCAATAAGTTATTCCTGTAGTTTATTGGAAGTGTCGACCAGTTTCGCCCCTACATTGGGCTTCTTCAGGACAAAATTATAGGATATTTCTATCCCTGAAGTACTTAAAATTGGGGCACATACAATTGTTCTACATATATATATGTATAGTGACATCAACTACAAGAATAACTTATTGCTCCTTCGCCTGTTGTAATTGAATCTATTTTATGATGTTCTCACTTTTACTCAATCCCCTGCATACTTTCGGGTATCCAGACAAGGAGCAAAGGACCAAATTATTCCACCATTAAGAAAAACCACGGCGTTGGCTCTACCCTTGCCTTGTTTTAACCACTTTGATTTAGAGCCCCTGCATCTCCCGGGATCCGCTGTAGGAAGTTTTCAGAGTCTGCCATAAGACCAACCTATGCTTCCAACCATCAAAATGCTCTCATATGGCTTCATAAAAACCATGGTTCAGTTACCCAAAAGAATGAACATTAATAAACTCTTTACTATTGGAAACAAAATGTCTATGAATTGGGCGTATCAACCTACTGCAGAGGTACCCTATTTTATAACATTACACAGACCTAAGGTTGTAAAACAGAAATCAACAGACAAGGTTAATTACATGAACTTGTTGTCACTATTTTACAAAGTGTTCCACAGACGTCGAATTAAAACCTACAGAGGTAAACACCATATTCAGCAGCGCATTCACAATGATGTCATTCCTATAGGAGTTCCAGTGAAGTTTTGACCCCCTTACCATACCAGAATCTACAACTACTCTACTTAAAGATAGAAAAGATCATGATACAATTCCCCCTGAACAACACTTTCAGGAGCCATCCCAGTATGACAGGGATCCATGTCATAGGGAAATGGTGACCATATGGCCACTCTAAGAGAGGACCTTTCCTTCATCTAGGCCTTGGACTCAAAAACTTTTATTATTTTTTTATTNAGACCAGTATATCTACCAGCTGGATGAAACTCTGCACGACAACCTACCAATGGACTATTCAGTATGTAAAGAGTTTGCATTCTCTAACTATTATGTCCCGCTAGACAACATTCTCATTGATGTCCTTTTAGATATGTATTGATATTGGCTTAACAGAGTTATCTATCTTGTACTAACTATTGATGACGTCACAATACTACCTATTGTTTATGACGTCACAATCTCTGCCATTGTTAATGATGTCACTATATATATATATATATATGTAGAACAATTGTATGTGCCCCAATTTTAAGTACTTCAGGGATAGAAATATCCTATAATTTTGTCCTGAAGAAGCCCAATGTTGGGGAGAAACCGATCGACACTTCTAATAAACTACAAGAATAACTTATTGCTCCTTCGCCTGTTGTGATTGAATCTATTTTATGAAAGGTCAAAATATATTTAATGGTATTTATATCAACTTATCAAATATGTAATTTACATCTTAAATTGAACCCATGTTTATTTGTCAACAGTTATCTAATTTCTTTAAAAGAAAATACATTACTTTGTAATAAGATATTTGACTTTTTGTCATCACAGTCTGCCCAGGTGGAGGTAATTGTTGCCCTCGGTGCCTTCGGAGGTAGGATGGACCAGGTTTTTGCTAACATTGATGTTCTGCACCAGGCACAGAAACTTACCTCTGTACCTGTAGTCCTAGCCTCTCATTGTCAGATGTGTGTCCTTTTGAAGCAGGTACATTGCATGATTTATTTATTAACAACTTCACCTTCATGCACATCAAAGAGTATTTGTAAAGATATATCGTATTGTAAATGAGTTTACATTTTATTAGCTTACCTGGCCCAAAGGACCAAGGTGAGCACATGCTGTACTGTGGCAGTTGTTGTCCCCCGTTCTGTCTGTCTGTCTGTCTGTCTATCCAATTGTACAAACAAATGGACTGAACTCATGTTGGGGGGGGGGGGGCAAAAAAGGGGAAATTAGCCATAATACTCAGACTCCTTCTCTGGAACTCAGAGAAGGTTAAACCATATTTAGTTAGAAGTATTCTCAGGTGGTGGGGATTCAAAATTGTACAAATGAAAGGGCTGACCCCCTTGGATTAAGCAAAAGAGGGGTCATTTAATTTGGCCATATTGCTTTAAGCAACTTTTTCTCTTGAATTAAGAGAAGGATATTTCCCACATTTGGTTGAAAGCATTTTCGGATGATGGGGATTTAAAGTTGTACCAGTTGAAGGACTGACCCCTCACCCATAGGGGATCGGGATGTTACCAGAAACAGTTTTTAACTAAAAAATGATCAAGATCCCTACCCTATAACCATATAAAAATGTATACAATTGCTGAGTATATAAATATGAGTACACATATGCTACCAGGAATGGACCAGGGTCTGGCCCAACCCATGGAGACATAATCCCTGGGTCACAATTTAGAAGTAGTTGAGATTGGCTCAAGGGACTGACCCTATCCCCAGGATGTTATGTTCTGTCTTAGGTAGCAATATACAGTAGAAATGGCCCGACTCTGAAAAACAAGGCACATGTCGAGGAAATGTAAACACAGCGGATTTACCCTACACAACACATATATACATGTATATATATTTGTAAACTGCATTACATATACAATACATATAAAGTACTGAGAAGTGTAGAAAGCCCTTTTTTCTATGTATGTCACTTGTGTGAAAACCATGGTTACCACATCAAAAATTACCAAAGAATGCCAAAAAATGTTATTTTTGACCTAAAATTTGACCCCAGCAACTAGCAATTTTTTTCCTAAGTTCTGTCTGAAATTAAAGATTACCTACTTGGTTGCAGAATTATCTGGGTCCCAGTTAAGTTGTAAAACTTGATTTTTTGCAATTTTGTGTCGTGTGCTGTTGTCAAAATTTTACCTCCTGTAAAGCTAGCTTTTCATGTGTCGGCACCCTTTGGATTATGGCCAAAATTTTGGTATCGACCAAATTTTTCATTTTTTCATTTTACAAATGTGAAGCTCACATAGCCCACTTCATCATGCTTATACCAATTTTAGTACAGTTTTATTTTTATAATTTTTTCACATATCATTATACAGGGGTTAGCCATTTAACAAAAATATCACCCATGGCCACAACCCTCTACTGTACACTGCTACCTTACATGTACTTTCAATGAGAACCTTTTGCCATGATTGCTTAAGTATCCAGGTGAGCAATGCAAGCCCTCTGGGCCTCTTCTATGAGATTGATGTCAGTTGGTGATCCCAAAGTGAAGCTTTATGTAATTCTTTAGACTTGTTTAAAAATCTGTTGATTTAGAAAGATATTCAAGATCCATTTCATCATATTACAAATAAAGGTCAAAGAAAATTGCCTTTTCAGACCATATTAAGGTCACCTGAGCTTGCTCAAGTGATCTATTCTAATCGCCTTCCGTCCATCGTCGTTCGTCGTGCGTAAACCTTTTTACATTTTCAACTTCTTCTCAAGAACCAGTGGATGGATTTTTTTCAATAAAATAAAGCTACCAGCACCTACATTGTATGATATATAACTCAGGTGACCGCTAAGGCCCTTGGGCCTCTTGTTAATTTTCAACATCGCAATCTTGATGTGAATATTGTTTCATTGCAATAACAATGCTTTGACATCCTGTTTAATTCTGATGTCACACTAGTTAGTGTATAATTAGGTAATGTGCAATATATATGACATGGTTGTAATCGCTTCATAGCAATATATTCATATGGTATATGTAGTATGGATCTCCTGTTGAATTGACTCTGATCTGAGTTGTCCAATCCAACTGGACAATTCTGTTACTTACTTATAATGTCTTCCATTTAAATGACAGACCTTTGTTTTCTGCTTCTTCTAGGACTCTTTTTTTCTGGGCCCTATCTTTAAAATCATTGAAGATATTCTAAGAAATATCATTTCAGACTTTAACAATCTTGCTAAAAAATAACCAATGAAATTGTAGTTCATTTGCTAAAAAAACAGAGTCACTAGGGAAAGCAGAAAGACATTTTATTTTACCCAAGAATAATCATTATCTTAAAAATATCAATTGTTGTGAAATTGATAGGGAATGAAGCACTGCCTACAGGTAGATACAGGCCACGAGGGCGACTGGTGTGGGTTAATACCTGTTGGACGACCTTGTCTCCACATCACAACAACAGGACTGAAATGGAACCTCGGTAAGGCCTCAAAATATATTGCCCTTTGTTTTCACTTCTTAGAAAAGTAGAGTAGGTACATGGTATGTAGACGTAGCATTGTATTTGGTATAAAGTTTTACGTAGACTTTACAGTGTCTTGTTTTTGTAGTGAAGACTAATGTACTTTGTGAGCTTGCATGGACAAACATTTTATTTTGAGTTTCAATCAGTAATCTCTTGAGATCACATGGCCCGTTCAGAAATCCAATAAAGCCACCATATTTTTTCGAAATCTATTTCAAACTTAAGATGAATTTCTCAACAGCTGGTTTAACTGAAAATTGAAAAAGATGATCTACTTTTATGTTCCTGACAAAGACATTGATGACATTTGTTTTTTTGGAGGAGGTATAAAAAATAATTATTGGCATACTTTATTGCGATTAATGTTTTGTTCATACGCCCATGAAAACTTTAAAAAATTGCCATCAATGCTTAAATACAATCAAATGATATAAACATTATTTGCTAGATGATTACTATCAATAAGAAGTAAGAAATAATTACTTTAAGAAAGAAAACCAAATATCTACGTAGGCGAATCATCAAATCCAGAGGAGAATCACCTGACTGACCCCACCCTACAACAGCAAGAAGCTGATCACACTTACACATACCCATCCCTAATCACTAAGTACTTACTTTACCTGGCCAACAGGTTTCCATAGCACCTGTGTCTGTGTTGCTTGTGATAATGTATTTGTTATCTTTTTCCTATGATAACTCTTTAATTAATGTTCTTAATATACCTAGTGAGTCTGTAGGCGTGTCACCCTGTATAAATAGACTTCCTAAATGAAATAAAGGATAGGTATACTTTAATGATATCCTGAGGATATAGGAGGTGAGATATGTCGAAGTGTGTGACATTTGTGATGTTCTGTGAATTTCTGTCTGACTTTCAAGTATAGAATTTTTAGGTCACCTGAGACTATTGCGATCGCCTTTTGTCCGGCGATGTCCGGCGATGTCCGTCGTCCGTCCGTAAACAATTTACATTTTCAACTTCTTCTCAAAAACCCCTGAACCAATTTCAATGAAATTTTGCAGAAACCTTCCATGGCCAAAGGTCAACAAAAATAGTGGCCGATTTGGTCCCCAGCCCCCAGGGTCAAAAATCTTCTTCTCAAGACCCAGATATGGTAGAATCAAATACTCTTCATAGATGGAAGGGTCTTAAGGTGCTCTACCAAAATTGTGAATTTTATGACCCTGGGGTCTCACGTGTCCCCCTGGGGAGGGGGTAAACTTTACTATAGTTTATATAGGGAAATCACATTTTGGACCAACATTTTCTAACTTTCATTGAAAGTAATTCAATTTGGGTTAGCATTATCAGTATTGGATAGCAGTTTGATATAGTATGCACATATCAGCCCTGACTGACCCCCTGACAAAAATCTTCTCCTCAAGACCCAGATATGGTAGAATCAAATACTCTTTATAGATGGAAGGGTCTTAAGGGTTATGACCCTAGGGTCTCACGTTTACCACCTGGGGAAGGAGGGGGGGGGCAAACTTTATTATGGTTTATAATGGCAAATGATACTTTGAATATTACATGTTAATAACTTGATTGGAATCATAACCCTGAGTTGACAGTTTGATACTCTGAATTTTTTTAGCCAGCCCTACCCCCAAGGGCTGTAGGGTGGGGCCCAAAGGAGTCAGTGTGCTAAAATTTCTTCATTTTCCTTGTTTAGAATCAGAGGTGCTAGTTTCAAATACTTTTTAGTCTTAAATCTGTATGCTAGATATTGAATAAGGTGGTTTTATTGATTTTGTCACTGAATAATTTTTCTGTTCGTGTTAAAAACAAAATCAACTCTCTGTATAAATATATCAGGTGACCTTTAAGGCCCATGGGCCTCTTGTCTACTATGCCATTAACTCCTTTTTCCAAAAATCCATGTAAGAAAAAAAGTTTAATACAGGAAATTTTTGACTTCTCAGAGGTGTACATCCTTAAAGGAAAAGTTGACGGACGACGGACGGACGACGGACGCCGCACCATGACATAAGCTCACTTGCCCTTCGGGCAGGTGAGATTTTAGAAATACAAGATTTGTACCTATATCTTGGAATAATATTAAACTATAATGGTGTTTTCACAAAAGGCAAAAGTAAATTAACAGAGCAGGCATAAAAAGCTTTAGATGCATGGTGTATTAAGATCAGAAATGTTTCCATCCCTGTTGATCTTCAACTGATATTATTTGATGCACTTGTGTCACCTATTTTATCTTGGGCTATGAAAATACAAAAAGTATCGAAAAAATACATTTACAGTTTTGTAAGCAGAGACTTAATATTCGTAAAGATCATATTAAATTAAAGAGACAGGTGCATCATAGCTATACAGCCTTGATGGAGATCTAAAGTTATTTTAATCTAATTAGAAGCTATGGGTGTCTATAGGTCTCACTTTGACATATTTTCCATCATGCGTCATCCTTCTGTGAGCATTTCATATATCTAGCATCTTCTCAAAAATTACTGTGTGATTTCAAAGAAACTTTGCAAGTAGCTTAAATGGCTAAAGGAAAACGGAAAAAAAAGGATTATATATTTTTTTTTAATATTTTCTGACTACCCAGTATGTGTTGGTCACTCCCGAACATCCTTTTGTTGGTGAATTCACAGTTGCTATATTTACATTACTTAATCTTGTTTTGTGCACATGTTAGTTTCCACGTCATGAAGCACGATGAAAAACAACATTATATCTCAGGTGAATGTTAAGGCCCACAGGCCTCTACTTTTCTAGTCTTGTTCTACCTGTGTTTTATTATATGAAAATTCAGGAAACAAATCTTTAAAAAGGAACATGCATCTGTAATAATGAATTCAATAATATAGGTTGTGAAAGTGGTATTTTGTCTTCTGCAGATAACCAAGGAATGGAGTTTGGTCAGCTGATTAGCACATCCAATGCTCTTGAAGGAAATGGACTGGTCACCATAGAAACGGACAATGATTTGTTATGGTGTATGGAAGTGAAACCTGATGCTGAATAACTACCAGATATCTGTAGTACGTTAGGATACGTCAATGTGGTGCTATGAAGATTTGCTTTGATTTAAACAGCTTTATTCAATATATTTGTTTTACAATTTATGAAAATGTTTTACAATTTATGAAAATGTTTTACAATTTTTGAAAATGTATGTTAATTATTTTACAATAACTATTGATAGCTGTTAGTGTGATTAACTTGAACAGCTCTTTTTCTTAATTTAAAATCATGTTGATTAATAATTTACATCAATATATTATCTTCATATTTAAGAAATAGTATACCGTATACTTAAAAATTCAACCTATTGATGTATATATGTATGTATATTTATAACCAGAAATACTTTCCCGATATTTTTTAGTTTGAAGTCATTATCTTTCTTTAAAGTAGTTTTAACTAATGAAACGATAGCCATACGAATACCCCCACTCCCTGCATATCTGTTGCTGTATGAATAGTGTTGAGTACTTATGATTAAGGTAAAATAGTTGAACGTTTACCTCATAAATGTATTTTTTTTACAGCACACTATGATCATGTGACCTTCACATCAAGTCTAACATCCATACATAAAATGGTAGCCAAGACATCTGTAAGAGGCTTACATCTACACCGTACATGTATTTTAAACTTGAGGTCATGTTGAGGTTGAAAAGAACAAATTTCATAATCAGACATATTCCTTGAATATAGAGTACACTTACACCAAGTCTGAAGTCAATAAAAACCTATATTACACTGATTTAGTACCTGAGGTCAAGGTCAAAGGTCAAATAGAGGCCACAGTATGTAAATTGTTTGATGCCCACTCATGAAACAGCAATTGAAATGTGCTCGGGAAACTATTATTTAAGTACTTGAGGTTGATCGAGGAAAAAGGTCAATTGAAGTCACAGACACCAGGTCTGAAGTCAATAAGAAAGCTATATTACACTGTGATATAGGACCTGTGGTCAAGGCCAAGGTCAAGTAGAGGCCACAGTGACTTCATTTTAGGGTGTAAGACACTGCCTTTCTGTGATGTACATTGCACCTATAAAGTTTGATGCCCACTCATAAAACAACAATTGAAATGTGTGCAGGAATCTATTGTCTAAGTACTTGAGGTCGATCGAGGTAAAAGGTCAAATTGAGGCCACAGTGACCTCGTTACAGGATGTGACACCACATATCATGATGTACCCATGAACAAAGTGTGATGCCCATTCCTGAATCAGTGGCTGAGAGATGTTCTGGATACCATTCCTGAATCAGTGGCTGAGATATGTTCTGGATACCATTCCTGAATCAGTGGCTGAGATATGTTCTGGATACCGTTATTTTAATACTTGGAGACAAGGTAAATGGTCAATTTGAGTTGACCTTCATTAGGAATGTGACACATTAACTTCCCATGATGTACCTATATGCACAGAGTTTGACCCTCATTCATGAAACAGTAGCTGAGACATGTTTCGGAAACCAGAGTCGTCATGGGCAGATGCATGAAAAATACCTATGAGCAGGGGTTTGAAAACACCAAATCTGATGATTTTTTTTCTTATTTAACATTAATGCACAAGAACGCATTAAGACACTTTTTCAAAATTGAAATATCCTTTCTTTATGTCCAGTTTTACCTTTCTGATGTTTGGGGATTCCCTGTGATTTTGAAAGCTTCACACAGGTTTCATTGACAATGATTTAGACCATGATTTACTGGACACCATCTTCAAAAATCACCATGACACCTCCACTAATCTTCTGAGATAACCTTAAACATTTGTAGTATTACGCTGCTGTCTCTTATAACAACATTTCTGTTAATTGACAACTTAATCAACCAGGCGTTCAAACATTGGTGTTTCTGTCACATTAAGGTGTTGATGGCCATGACCTGACCACACACCTAGAAGATCGGGTTTATCAATACAATGGTTCAAACCTAGGTGACCAGTTAAATTACTTGATGGTTACACATTTTATGTAGGAGCTTTTTTCTTAATTTAGTGTTTTGGTCCTAAAAGGATTAAACAGTTGATTTTACATTTGTCTTTTCATGTTTTGTATTTGTATTGAGATATTTGCTTACATGAAATATTATTCATCCAGCCTGCATTCAAACAGGTCTAATTTCTGTGAATTTTGGATGAAATGGCATGTCTCAACTAGTACTCATATAATACATATAGTAGGTGATCAAAATAACTCCAAAAAACATCCGTTTGATTCAGACACCCCTGGTATGGTCATTACACACACCCTGCAGCAACTAGAAGATTATTTGACCACAGGATGTATAGTTTGAGTTTGTGCGAGTTTGGACTTGAGTGAGGGATATTCGAGGGAGATTGGTAAATTTTGGTCAAAATGAGAGAGTCACTCTCCTAGTGTTGGAGGGTTGACAGCTATGGCTTGAATTATTATGAGTTTTAACTAAAAATCATAATAATTCAAGCCGTAGTTGTCATGCAACACACACACACACACCCCCACCACCACCACCACCACCACCACCACCACCAAAATAAACTTTAATTTATTAATTTAGATAAATAGCTTCAAAGAACATGTGGTTCCTTCAGGAAATTGTACCATATAACCTTAGCTTTGTACAGCAAGACGATTCATTACGTGATGAATTACATGGCAGTGTACAGAAACTTATAAAAATTGCCGATTCCAGCAGCCTTCAAGGTCAAAGGGTTCAAATATGTTTAAAATCTTTAAACAACTTCTTCTGAACAAGAGGCCCAATGGGCCTGAATCGCTCACCTGGTATTAATCTCACACTTGTAATCTTAAACGTGGACTAAAATACAGCTAGAGGCAGAATATCAGTGTTTGATTCATAAGAACCTATTAAGAGATTTAAACATATGACCCCTGTGACCTTGGATATACTTCAAGGTCATTTATTTGAACAAACTTGGTAGCCCTTCATCCTAGCATGCTACTTGTCAAATATTATAACCCTAGGCCTCTTGGTTATTAAGAAGAGGTTGTATAAAGGTTTCAAACATATTTGACCCCTGTGACCTTGAATATAAGTTAAGGTCATTCATTTGAACAAACTTGGTTGCCCTTCATCCCAGCATGTTAGTTGCCAAATATCATAACCCTAAGGCCCCTTAGTTATTTCGAAGAAGTTGTATAAAGGTTTTAAACATGTTTGACCCCTGTGACCTTGAATATTTGTCAAAGTCATTTATTTGAACAAACTTGGTAGCCCTTCATCACTGTAGCCCTTCATCACAGCATGCTACTGGCCAAATACAATCATCCTAGGCCTTTTGGTTATTGAGAAGAAGTTGTTTAAAAGTTTTTAACATATTTGACCCATGTGCCCTTGAATATAAGTAAAGGTCATTCATTTGAACAAACTTGGTAGACCTTTATCCCAGCATGCTACTTGCCAAATATCATCATCCTAGGCCTCATGGTTATACATAAAAAGTTGTTTAAAGGTTTTAAGCATATTTGACCCCTGTGACCTCGAGTATTTGTCAGTCATTCATTTGAACAAACTTGGTAGCCCTTCATCCCAGCATGCTACTGGCCAAATATCATTATCCTAGGACTTGTGGTTATTGAGAAGAAGTTGTTTAAATGTTTTAAACACATTTCATCATTGTGACCTTGAATATTTGTCAATGTCATTCATCTGAACAAACTTGGTAGACCTTCATCCCAGTATGCTACTTGCCAAATATCATCATCCTAGGCCTCTTGGTTATTGAGAAGAGGTTGTTTCAAGGTTTTAAACATATTTGACCCCTGTGACCTTGAATATCAGTCAAGGTCATTTATTTGAACAAACTTGGTAGCCCTTCATCAAATCATGCTACTGGCCAAATAGCATCATCCTAGGTCTTTTAGTTATTCAGAAAAAGTTGTTTAAAGTTTTTAACATATTTGACCCCTGTGACCTTGAAAATAGGTGAAGGTCATTTATTTGAACAAACTTTGTAGCCCTTTATCCCAGACTGCTTCTGGCCAAATTTTATCAAGCTAGGTCTTGCGGTTATTATGAAGAAGTTGTTTAAAGTAAAATATTGACGACGGACAAACGACGGACGCTGCACCATGCCAAAAGCTCACTTGGCCTAACCAGAAGGCCTAGGATAATGATACTTTGCCAGAAGCATGCTTTGGTAAAGCGCTACCAAGTTTGTTCAAATGAATGACATTGACTTATATTCAAGGTCATAGGGGTCAGATATATTTAAAATCTTTAAATGACTTCTTCTTAATTACCAAAAGGCATTGGATGATGTTATTTGACCTGTAACAGAATTGGATAAAGGGCTACCAACTTTGTTAAAATCAATTATCTTGATCTATACTTAAGGTCGCAGGGGTGAAATATGTTTAAAATCTTAAAATGACTTCTTCTAAATAACCAAGAGGCCTAGTTTGTTGATATTTGGCCAGTAGCATGCTGGAATGAAGGGCTATAAAGTTTGTTTATTTTAATGACCTTCTTGGACTTTCAAGGTCACAGGGGTCAAATGTTTTAACATCTTTTACAGTAACAGGCCTGTAGCTTTACTTGAGATCACGTTTAAGGTTACAAGTGAGAGATTAATACCAGGTTAGCATTGCAGGCCTATTGGGCCTCTTGTTCAGAAGAATTCATATAAAGGTGTTTGTTTAGATAATCGACCTCTGTGACCTTGACTATGAGTGAAGGTCATTCATTTGAACAAACTTGGTAGCACTTTATCCCAGCATGCTACATGTAATGGCTAAATATCATCACCCTGGGCATTTTGGTTATTCAAAAGAAATCGTTTAAAGTTTTTAATATATTTGACCCCTGTGACCTTGAATATGGGTTAAGGTAATTTATTTGAACAAAGTTGGTAGCCCTTCATCCCAGTTTGCTTCTGGCCAAATATCTACACCCTAGGCCTTTTGTTTATTAAGAAGAAGTTGTTTAAAGTAAAATATTGACGCCGGACGACAGATGGACCGACGACGGACACCGCACCACGCCCTAAGCTCATCAGCCCTTCGGGCCAGGTGAGCTTATTAACAAAACAAATGCTACACAAGCTCCATGAACAAGAGGCCCACAGGCCTTAGCGGTCACCTGAGTTATATCATAGGTACTGGTAGCTTTATTTTATTGTTTAGATGTGATGTGGAAATCAGCATGTAAACTAAGTGACATACAATACTTGTCATGTCATCAAAGGATAAGAATTTGAAAATATTGGTAAATGTTCCCGCCCTAGCCCCTGGGGATGGGGCAGGAATTACAATTTTGCAATGTAATACCCTCATCCACCAAAGATGATTCTGACCAAGTTTGAATAATTTTCTGCTGAAAATGGATAAAATATACCCAAAAGTGTTACTATATAAACTTAACAATTCAAATAAAGCCCCTGATGATCTTTCCATCCATGCAGAGAAAATGACTGTAGTACCTCTGAGTCTGGAAAAGAAGATTTTTGAAATATTGGTTAATTTTCCCTTTGGGACCCCACCCTGGCCTCAGGGGTCGGGGTAGGAATCCCAATTTTACAATTTGTAGCCTCATCTACCAAGGATGATTCAGACAAAGTTTGAAAAATTCCATCCACTGGTTCGTGAGAAGAAGTTGAAAATGAAAAACGTTTACGCACGATGGACGACGGACGGAAAGTGATCGGAATAGGTCACTTCAGCACAGCTCAGGTGACC